GAGTCAGTATCAGGTTCCTGGTAACCTCTTTAGAATTGTTTGCCCCCCTGTGTGATACTGAGTCTTGTCTTCCGTACCGAAGTGTTGACGGCCATGACACACCGTAAGTGCCCTCTGCCTTTGTGGATATTCCTCCTGCCGAGTGCCGGCTACCAACCTTGTATATTCTTTATTTATTTTATTGCTAAATTAGTGTTTATACCGTTTTCATTTAATTTATATCTTTGCATTCTTACTTTTTTTCCAAATTTTAATTTAAAAATATAAATATTAATATACAAAATAGATAAAGCTGGCCCTGTAGTGAACGTAATTGGTATGCGGCCATATGGCCTGAATTGGCTATTAAGAGGGTCGTTCTTCTTATCCTCTGTGATCTTGTATTTTTTTGAGCTTATGTTTATTTGGCTTTGATTTATGGCTGGAATCTTAAATGCATATACAATATTACCTATTCACACACAACACTTATTTATGATTTAAATTTTTTGTCATCTTGCTTGATTTGGTTTATTTACTCTTACGCCTTTTTCAATTTAGTTAAGTTGTTTATGGTTTGTTTACTCTGAGAAAATGAGGTTGTTAGTTTAACACTTACGGAAATGTTATCTTATTATGTTTTAAAATTTAGTTTTTGAGACGAAAAAAGAAATCTTAGACAAACAATCAGATTTTTCATAATTTACTGAACCACTTTATTGATATCTTTGTACATTTTTGTAGTAGTAAAAATGTATATTCAAAAACTATACGAGTTTAATTTAAGACTGTAGGTATCATTCGACTTTTAAATAAACAATTATGCGCATTGGTCGTATTGAATGTACCAAAAACTGTTCATTTAATTAAAACTTGAACTAGTTTACTTTTCTCAGTGTAGGGACCTGTTTGATTTCTAAAGCCAAATGACATTTTTTGCAACATTGCGAATTTGCGTATATAAACATTTAACGATTAAATTATATCAGAATCGAATTGGTACTGTTATTAGGTCATGCAATTAGGAAAATTACTTAGCTGAACTAGTTAGATTCTGCCTTCCTATCCCCAGCGGACAGACCGCGCTCCATGGCTCTGCTGTTTGTGATGACCATACAGGTGATCAGGAGCGGTCAGACAACTCATCGGAGTGCCCCAACCTTTTTACCTACTCTCACACAAACCTCCACGACGCTACCGCACTTTGTGACTTAACCGGGGGCCACCCGCACTTTTTAAACTTAGTATTATTTCCTTTCTTTTAGCACTTGGTTCCGTTATCACGTGTAGAATCGACATTGATTCCTTTTTGTTACTTGAACTTTAGCGGCGACGGCACTGCACGCACGAGCGCTTATTCCAACTCAACCGCTCGACTCAGGGCTCGCTGCATCACTGGCCCAACAAATGTTGTTGTTAATTATGGACATTAAATCTACTAAAAGTTTAAGGTGGTCATGCTCATGAAAGCTGTCAGTTGGTATTTTATGCTGCTTAAGTGTCAATTGTTTAACGTGCATAAAATAGTATATCAAATAACTAATGTCATAAGACGTCCTTGTTTCAGTTTTGTAAAGGACGAATGCGAGAAAATGTCTTATGACATGACTTCTTTATACTATTTTTTTTATTTGGCAAAATTAAAAAAAATCGAATTAAAATTATATTTGCGTATTGTACTGTTGACATGGAGACAGTTAGAAACGCAAATGCAGTAAATAATTAAATTTTACCTAATTTATGGTTTTTACGTTATTTATACTTATATTGTAAATAGGGGCGTGCGAGTGGATTGAATGTTTCAAATATTCTTATGGTTCAAATATTAGATACTTTATTCAAATTATTCAAAATATTTATTATTTATTAATTATAATTATTATAATTATTATTATTAATTATTTAATAAAAATACATTTTATTCATAATCATGAAAATAGTTTAACTTATTTGAATACTTGCATATTATTAGAATTTTTAAACTATTAGAAACTGTTTACTGTATACTTTTCCAATCCACTTTAAAATACCCCGATGACGAAAATAAAAAAACTGAATACAAATTGTTTAAAAATAAACTAAATAACGACATAAAACAAGCTAAAAAACACTCTTTTACAAACCAAACTAATAAAGAAAATAACTCTAAAACTCTCTGGAAAACAGTCTCTGACATAACTCAAAATAAATCAAACAAAACTAAAAATAATATAAGTTCTAACTAAAAACGGGGAAATTGCTACACATAAAAATATTATCGCGCATGAATTTAATTTATTTTCTTCTAACGTAGGAGAAGAAATGGCAAAACAAATTCCCAAAACTAAAAAAAAATTTAAAAATAAATATTTACCAAATAGCTTTTATTTAACTAACGTTAAATTAAAGAATAAATCAAGTCCCGGGATAGATAATATACAAAAAGTTTTTTTAAAATTTAATACAAAGACTATATCTAGGCTACTTACGTATCTTATAAATCTTATATTTAAAACAACCAAATGTCCAGAAGAATTAAAAACGGCAATTATTGTACCTATTTATAAACAGGGTGACAAACTTGATCCGCAGAATTATAGACCAATATAACTAAAATCAAATATATGCAAAAATGTCTCAAAAAGAGAATGCTTAAATTTTTAAATAAGTTCATACTCTTCAATCAACAGTTTGGCTTTAGGGAAAATATGTCGACACAAGATGCTATAGGGTTGTTGCTGGTTGATGCTCTAGATAAATCAAAACCTTTGCTAGGAATATTTATAGACCTAGCGAAGGCTTTTGATACTATTAGTCACGAGTTAATTTTAGAAAAGATTTTTGACCTGGGTTTCAGGGGTAATATTTACCATATAATAAAAAAATAGAACCCAAGTACTTAGGATCGATGACATATTGAGTAGTAAGGTAAATGTAAAGTTTGGTCTCCCACAAGAAACCGTCTTGGCGCCCTTATTATTTATAATATATCTGAACGATCTTCTTGAACTTAAAATAAACGGCGAGATGATCTCGTTCGCGGATGATACGGTAATATTTATAAAAGGAAACACTTGGGAGGAAGTAAGAGTTAAAGCCGCAACAGATCTACATAAATAAAATCCTTTTTTGATAGTCATCTCCTTACAATGAATGTTAAGAAAGCTAAGTAAGTCCCTTTTGGCTCATATCTTATACAAACCATAGACAATTTGGAAATAGAACAAGTAAATAAAATAAAATATTTAGGAGTACATCTAGATTCCCATTTCAAATGGCATGCCCATATTACTCACACAAAAATTAGAAGAATGTTCTATTCATTTAAACAATTAAATAATATTTTTAATGAAAAACAACTAAAGATTGCTTACTATGGACTTGTAAACTCGGTACGGGGATATGGGATACTAGCCTGGGGAGGCATACTTAAAACACATTTGGATAATCTGGAAAGGTACATAAAAGAATTGTTAAAATAATGTTTAAAAAGGATTTATACTACTCGGACAGCCAACTTTTACATGAAATAAACATATAATATGTTAAAACTCAATCATATAATACAAAGGGCAGCTTAAATATTACAAAAAAAAAAAAACAACAAAAACTTTTGGTAAAAAATCTTATACTTATTTAGCTCCCGGACTGTACAATTTTCTGTTTAAGTTAAGTTTTTAACGCCCATTGTTTGCAATGAAGAAATACCCGTTAGTTACTCTGGTTGTTGTTGTTGTTTGAAAAAGAAGACAGTAAAAATGTCAATGTTTGTAGTTAAAAATGTGTGCAATTAAAAGTTATTTAAAGCTGATTCTCTTTGCTAAACCCACCGAAAATTAAAAAATAAAGTGAACCTCCAATATCGTAAGCTCCAAGTTTGGTTATTTGATGTTCTAGAATTTATGTGATATTAATTTGTTATTAGCACCCACAACAAGCATTCTCCTGTTTAGTGGGGAGTACTTTTATTTACTTAATTTCTAAGTTCTATTATAGTTTTTTATTTTTAGATTGTACACATAAAATTTATATTGTACTATCGGGGAAATAATTATCTTTCCAGTATCGGTCCGACTTCGCTTAAAACAAAATTCGCTTGCCACTCCTTCGGGTATTTATTGTCTATTCAATAGCGGTTTTGTTTCGCTTTAAAGAAATTTCGCCGGCCACTTGCTATCACGCCCCTTTTACTATTCGTCTTAAATATTTTTATTAATATTTTTTTTTATAATATTTATAATTTTTTTTTACCATGGCATATGTATTTTCCATAGTTTATATTATGAGATTCAAAAAAGGGTTTAATTTGGTAATTTTTTTACGATTTTAAATGAATTATGAAAATTGCCTAATAATTAGTTTTATTTTCGGAAGGCGAAAAAAAAATAGCGGCTCATTGTCCTGGTCATAATAATAGTAATAATATCAACGATAATAACAATAATTGTTACTAATAATAAAACTATATATAACCTTAATAAAATTTATTAAAAATAAATAATGACAAAATTAACTATAATTAATATTTTGTCATCTCGCCTTCTGCATCACACCGGGATCTCATTGACAATACCAAATTTTGACATATTTGGGTGCCTCTTAAAGAATCCCAAACTCGAATGCAGTGATGTTGCAGTGCATCCCTGGTTCTTTCATTTTCATTTTCCCAGATGTTTACCATTTTGGCCCATAGCACGGTGGGCTTGAACCAACTTTAAATCCAGCTAAAGACCACCCAGAACATTTTTGTTGTATATGATTTGTGGATACTTTAGGAGTATTTTCCAACAAAAATCGAAATCCTATACTGAGCACTTTTTTTATAAAACTTGATTCAAAATTTTTATTTTTTTTTTATTTTTTTAACACCGAAACTAACACCATATTTTTTTAACACCAAAAAAAATTTATTGTCTGCAAAGCCTCATAATTGAGTGACTAAATAGAAACAACAAAATTAGGGCCTTAACACTGTTTAAATTTCACGATAATTTAAATACAATATTTAATTCAAATTATTCTTGAATATACATTATATTTTCTTATACATTGAAACTATTATATTGAGAAACAGCCTTTAATAATTGACAACCATATCTTGCATTGTTAATATCAACTTTGAATCTTTTCCATAATTCATTAAAATCGTGATGGACAGACTCCATCGCCTGCTCGCTGTAATAACCGAGGCCTCTTCCAGTTTTCTTGCAAGATTCAGCAACATGGTAAAAAACTGCGTGAACTTTTGCAAACCATGGTGTCACACTAATATTTAAATTTAAGTAGGTTGTTTTGAATTGATTTATGTACATTTGATAATTTGGGTCCAGCTCATTTAAGAAACATGAATCAACCACTTTTTTTAAATAATCAAAACATGTGACAAAATCCAAGCACGCAATATTAATCCTGTTACACATCGATCGCAATTTATCGATATTATCCAATAAAGTCTTGCAAGAATTTCCAGCAAAACATGGTTGATCACCGTATCTAACATCCCTTGAAACATTGCAGGCCTTGATCCATGCTAGACTTATATTTTGAAAACTTGACGACAGCATGTGTTTGACTAAATGATTCACTATTCCAATTAATAGGTGCAATTCAGGAGAAATCACTATGTCAATAATTTCCGTAGTTTTGTCTTGATTGAAAACAGATTTATGAATGCAGTTTTTAAAAAATTTTGCTTTTTCACTTTTAGAACCATCTTTTGTCCATGCTTCAAAATTTTCTTCGCAGCTGCCAAGCGTTCTGAGATTCCCTGATTCGTGTAGTTTAAAAGTGCATGGATAATAACATGAATGAGCCATTATTCCAATTAATATATTTGCAAGCTTTAAGTCTGTTGCAACTGTATATTCTGATTCGTTTAACTTTAAAAGAGACCAAAGCATTGAAACATTTTCATAATTTTCTTGTGAACCAGATACTAAACCCAAAATGAACAATTTTTTTACACCCGAACTCTTGAATTTCTTTGCTGAAACACCATCTTTATATATAAGACTGCCGATGTACTACTCGATTACTGCTTGATTTTGTAATTAAATCTTTGTTACATATTAATAAAAGACAAATTTTCAAAATTCCACCACCACCATCTATACCCAGTTTAATATGATCTGTTTCGTTTTCTTTCAAATCACTTACATATTCACATAAACCTTTCACAACAATACAATATACAAATTATTTTGCACACTCAGTGTTTGTCTTGCCAATAGCGTGAATAAATCTATCTTCTTTAATTTGAAAGAATGAATCTAAAATGTGACCAGCACATACCAATTCAGTTTTTAAATTTTTCTGAAATAGTTTACGGTTTTTACTTGCTGCACGAAAAGCTGCAGTAATTCCTAAAGTTGTTTTCTGAGCTAATGAAAACTGAGTCTGAATTTTAGCAACATCGGAGCTTGAAATTTCACATTGCTTATCATTATTATGGGAAGTATTCCCAACAGTGACTTGAAGTTGCTTGCCATGTTCTTGTGACAATTTAATAATTGACGAAGAACTTGCAAGTGGTTTTTGAGAACATTCATCCTTTAAAGTTTTAGCCAACAAATGACTTTTTGATTTCGGCGATAAAGAATTATTTATTATATTTTGAATATTTCCAATTTTAGTCCCGTAATTACAAACATGTGATTGTCCTTTTGAAATAGGTGTTAAACACTTAAAGCAATTACGATTCGATTTACTGCGTGACTTCGGCTTTTCTTTTATTTTTTTTTATTATTTCACAGGCATTTTCGCGAGCAATTCCACACAAGGTACATTTACATGTTTGATTTAACGCAGTTCGAGTGTACATAGAAGGAAAAGTAAATGTCGAATAATTTGGCATAGATATTAAAATTTTTACCTTTTTTAGCTGCGTCATAAATGTCAATCCTGCAAGTACAATCAGTGCAATTTTTCAGTTTTTCTTTCATCCCAGAGCCTATATTTTTCATATTTTTCTTCTTTTTGATGCACATAACACACAGTTTCGTTCTATTTTCCTCGTGAGTAAAAGCATGATTTTTAATTGGATTTTGCATTAAGAGTCCATCCATATACAGTTTGATATTGTATATTAAAAATGTTTATGAATTTTATACATTTATAAACTATTAATCTACTTATTTAGACAAATAATATTTGATAAGTGAACTGTTAACCAAACTATCAATGTCAATGTGTTATAAAGTACAAACAAGTCATAGCCTGCCCTGATCCCTCTATATAATCCATGGATACGATAATATTTATATACGAATTCCTGTCGGAACAAAATATTGCTTAAAAATTCTCCGAAAGATACTTGTCCAATCTTGAAAGTAAGCAGGTAAGGTCCAAGCCTTATTATTATACTGTATGTGAAATATCGTGAAATATTAATTTTTTTTATGCACCATTTTTGTTGTATATATTTAGTCATTCAATTACGAAGCTTTGCAGATATTAAACACATTTTTAAACTGTTAGTTTCGGTGTTAAAAAAATAAAAAAATAAAAAAAATTCGAATCAAGTTTTATAAAAAAGTGCTCAGTATAGGATTTCGATTTTTGTTGGAAAATACTCCTAAAGTATCCACAAATCATATACAACAAAAATGTTCTGGGTGGTCTTTAGCTGGATTTAAAGTTGGTTCAAGCCCACCGTGATAGATTTTCTATGGGATTTAAGTCTGGGGACCTACTTGGCCATGGCATATTAATAATATCCTGGTTTTCGTCAAACCAGGATTGCACCACACGTGCCCGATGAATGGGGGCATTATCTTGAAAATAATTTATCAGTGGGACTTATAAATATTGAAAGGAGAGCTGGGAGTATCTTTAAAAAAAGAAACTTAAAAGTAACTTAAAACAGAAAGTATCTTTAAATTGTATCTAAAAAAGTATCTATATATCTACTGAAAGTATCTAAGATACTTTTGAGTAACTAAGATACTTTTAAGTAACTAAGATACTTTTGAGTAACTAAGTTACTTTTAAGGATAAATAAAAACTATAAAATTATGAAAATTCAACAAGTTTTAGGTTAAATAATTACTTTGAATCATTCTGGAATACCCCCAATTTTCTCTAAGAAAGTGTCTAAGTTTCACTGAAAAGTATCTTAGTTACTTTAAAGTATCTAAGTCACTTGAATGTATCTTAGTTACTTTACCGAGCAACTTAGATACTTTTTTAGATACAAGTTACAAGATACTTTTCCAAAGTAACTAAGTTAAAGATACTTTCTGATCAATACAAGAAGTATCTAAGATAAAGTATCTAAGATACTTTAAGTATCTAAGTTACTTTTAAGTATCTTTTTTTAAAGATACTCCCGGCTCTCCTTTCAATATTTATTTTTATATTCATTGGTTACGTAATGCATATACATTGAATTATTTATTTGGTAACAACAACAAACATTTATTTTGGTTTTTTTATATTTATTATAATAAATTTTGGATTTAAAATCTTACTTAATAAATTGTTATAGTATTTATATTATAATGTTTTAATTTTTAATAACTTCCTATTCCACATTATAAATAACAGCCCTGGGTCACTAGCTATCCTTATTTTAACTTGGTGGCGCCCACAGACAAATATCCATTTATTCAACTCAGCCCTTCTCCACAACAGAGCTACCCTGGCCTAGTGATCTATTTAAAGGAAATATTAAATCTATAATTTATTATTGTTAGTCGTCTGTGGTCGTCCGCAACTTATTTGCCGTAACACCTTGTCACATTGGCACCCAACGTAGTTGTTTGTGTTGTTTTTACCATACTTTTAAATCGTTGTTGTTTTATTTTCAGTATTTTGTTATATCACGTTGGCCATTGCCTATTAATATTACCTTTATTTAAACGAGATCAGTTTTGCTTATATATGTATTTTTTTTTGCTATATCGATAAGGTAATATGTATAATAAACATAAAATATTTGGTGGGGTATATTTTTTTGTATCGGGTTTCTACATATTTTTGTTTAGGTTATTTAACAACCGCTTTACCATTTTTTTGTTTCGGTTAGTTATCGCTTCACGGCATCTAGCCGCTTTATTTGCTTTTATATATATTTTTATTAATAAATCCGTGAAGGATTTAAGTTTTTGAAGCTTGCCACTTTTACCATCGTATTCACTATGGCTCTTAAACTAAGACTTTATCTACTTGGGCAAGATGAACTCACTTATGAATGCAGAATGCGGAATTCAACCAAGTACAAGATGCGAAAATCCCTAAATGCAGCAATTTCTCTAGAATTACTCAACAAAGAGATATTACCATCGCCACCTTCTCATCCGTACACATTCGATGAAGATATTGCTGCATGTAGAACCAAACTAGAGGAAGTAAAGGGACTTGTTGAAGACCTTACTCCACAAAACAAGACGAAGAGGAAAAGTAAAATCGAAACAAAGCTACAGCACATATTGGGAAGAGTCAAACGATTAGACGTAAAAACTTCGGAAACCTCTTTGCTCTCGATAGTCAATGATTTTTATGTCATCTTACGTAAGGAAGTTCAAAATAAGGATAATGCCGATATCACTTACTTTAACACCTTTAAGGCAGAATAATCAGTATCCTAGTACAAGCCAGCCCAATCCAAACGATAGGCAACCTAGTTTTGGTAAAACAGTTCCAGTGTCAAAATGGAACCTGACCTTCAGAGGCGATAAAGATAGCATTTCTCTAAACGCATTTCTCGAGAGAGTTGATGAACTCAGGATAGCTAGGCATGTTTCCAAAGAGGATTTATTTTATTCAGCTTGTGACCTCTTTGGCGGCAAAGATCTAATATTCTTTAGAGCCTTTAGACATTCAATTTCCACCTGGGATGAGTTAGTTGGAAAACTCAGAGAAGAATTCCAAACCAGGGATTATAACGACAAACTTCTTCATGAAATTTTAGAACGTACCCAAGGTCAAGAGAAAACAATTGGAATCTATCTCGCCGTTATGACATCTCTATTCAAAAGGTTAATATGCGAACAAGCGCAACTAAAGATACTTCTGAAAAATATACTACCATTTTACCATACTCAGCTGGGTTCCATTAGTCACTTACTTCAACTATGAAGACAGATCGAAGAAACTAGGAAAAACGTCGAAGAGTTTAAGCCACCAACAAGGAAAAACAAAGTTCTCGAACATGATCTCGCTTACATCGGATCATCAGTCGAAACTGAGGAAAGTATAGATGCCATTTCACCAAGCAATTCGCAAAGTTTTACAACTAATAAGTAGAAATTAAAAGGGAGTTCCAGCACACTTTTCCAGCACACATTTTCAACACACATTTCCAACACACATTTCCAGCACACTTTATTTTTAAAAATTTTTTTTTTTAAATTTTGGTACGTTTCGATAGTTGGGTGGTATGTATTCCGATTGGAGCCTAAAATAATTAATTTTATGTTATTAATTTTATCAAAATATTTAAAAAATATTTGATTAATATTTTGATATACCCTGTATTTTTATTTCATGTTTGTGTTCAAATACGTAAGTATGCTTATAAGCAGGTAGAGAAACTTGTTCGCCTTTTGCAGGCTGGTTCACCTGCGCTTTGCTTTTTTCTTTGTTTAAAATTGACCTTTTCAAATACCAGTTTTATTACCTTGATGTTTTCTCCTCTCTAAAATTTTATTTCTTAACATTCGCTTAAAGGTACGGTTCGTTTTTAAGTGTTGTTTAATATAGGATCAAATATATTTGTAAGTATAAATTTATATAATTGATTTAAAAATTATTAATTACTATTTAACATCATGGATGTTGCAAACAATTAAACTAAATTTAAGATTTATTAATGCTT